GTTACTCATTCACCCAATGGCAACATTTTCTGTGCAAACGGAAAGGCTCGGCGTAGCGGTTTGTCGGTTGCCACTCGCATTGGTTGTTTTCTATCTGTTCCAAATCGCCTTTCCTCTATAAGATGGAAAGTTTGAGACGCGGTTTGTCGGCTTGCAACTTGCTTTGCAAATTCCATTGGTTCACTCGATGGCGCCAGCGCTTCTCTATAGGCGAAAAGCTTGAGATAGCGGTTTTTCGGCTTGCTGACTTGCATTTGGGAGTTCACTGCTAACTCATGTAAATGGATTCTGATTCTGACGTATGACTAACGTTGCAGATTTAGAGTGCTGCATCATATCTGAAGCTATCCTGCCGAGGATACGAATTGTTTGCTTGTGATACTTAAGTTTGAGTGTATCGGCATGTTTATTACTCGTTAAAAGCTGACTTGGAACCTGTTTACCCTTGTAGCATACTGCTGTGCCACAGCTTGATGAACGCACATCCTTTTTTGCCGTTTTCGATGGGCATGGAGGTAAATACTGGCTGTTTTCTCTTCTCGTTTAACTTTATACCGTACCATCTATTCAGTCGTACTCGTACCTGTTCTGTTTGTTTCACAATGGTTTGTACCCATTTTGGTTTAAGCTGGTCACATCTTACTTTGAGTGGATTAGTATAATCTAACCCTTTAAAGCCTTCCATAGAACGAAATTCTGTATTGTTACCTTACACTAAATCATGTATTGCACATCACTATGTCGTTTGCTGTTATTCTGTTCAACATAAATATGATTAGCACTATTTATCATGCTGGTGCTTTCATACAGTATTGGATGTGTATATAAGTAGCTACTGACAGGACTGCAATGTTCATGTTAACTGGCAGGACTTGTGATTTGATCATCATTTTTGCTTACTGTGTTGTCCTCTCCTCGCCTTTTGATTCCCTCATTGGATTTTTTATTTTTTTTAAACCTAAAAGATTGCTTCAACAACAAAATGTGTTCACTGGCTTTATTAACTCTGAGAATTAAATATTTGTAGCATTGGCTAGTTGTTGTGTGTACGCTGTGGAGATTAGCTATGTTGAGTTTGGCTTTACAGCATGGCAGTATCCTAACATGGCAATAGCTAATCAAATGACTCAGTAGTTACATGTTTCCATTTAACCATTGGGTGTAAGAGATACAAGCACATGTTTGGAAAATGTCAGCTGAAAATTTACACGTGCTTTAACTTTTAGTGAAAAAAAATAGCTGCATTATGTGTTGTCTTCTTATGTGTGACATGAATTTATTAGCCAATACAAAATACAATATTACAGGGAAAGCGGTCGCTAAATTCTGCGCCAAACATCTACACATGCAATTCTTAAGAAGTGCAGCATATTGTTCTGGTGATTTAGCTTCTTCTGCTCGGAAAGCCTTTTTGAGGTATCTACCATGTTCTTTCTTTGCACTGTGGTATGCTTTTTGCTTGAAACTGACATGTTTGATGGTTCAATGAATCTGTATTGCTCTTTCAGAATGGATGAGATGATGAAAGGGCAAAGGGGATGGAGAGAACTGGCTGAGCTGGGAGAAAAGGGGCCAAAGTTCGCTGGAATGTTGGAGAGTATAATTTGGTCTCCCAAAGGTGGAGATGCAGATAAACTTGGGGACGGATGGCACTCGGAGGAGGTAAAATTGCTTCCTCCTCTTTCTCTCTGCTCAATCCCTTTTGCTGGATATGGAATTGAACAGGTTACTTTTCATGGCAAAGCTCATCTCTTATTTGAGAATAAATTTGATGGATAGAACTGCTTGGATTGTGGGCATTTCTCAACCCATATTTAAAGAGGGGTTTGCTTTAAATTTGTGATGTTGTTAAGCAAAGTGGGTTGGGTAGGAGGCTTGTGCCCTGCTTTAGAAAGGGAGACGGATGGAGTTTCTGCAGGGATGGGTGGGAACTGGACCGGTGGATTGCTCAGATGAGATTAGTGAATCTCCTAATACTGACCAGTCGTAAAACACACTGCAGGTTGTTCCATACCCCTGTATTGAAATACGAGAACATATCTGCAATAATTACCTAACATCATTGTTTCTAAAACATAGGTCCGTCATGTTACTTGCAGTACAACAATGTTGGGGTGTTATATTTATGTGTCCTCGTTTCTTGTACAGTAAACTCACAAAAACTAGTTTTATGATGTTCTAGTGAATATTAAGTTTACCTGACCTTTGTTTAACTATGCTACTCAACCAGGGTCCTCATTCAGATTATTCTGGGCCAACATGTGGAAGCACAGCGTGTGTGGCTATCATAAGAAATGATCAACTGGTTGTTGCAAATGCCGGGGATTCCCGGTGTGTTATCTCAAGGAAGGGTCAGGTATGCCAGTTGTAACTATCTTTAGTTGTAATTGAAGTATAAATGCTAGCTTATGTTTTCCTAACTCATCTACTGTTAAGGCTCACGATTTGTCAAGAGATCACAAGCCAGAACTTCAGTCAGAAAAAGAGAGGATTGAGAATGCTGGTGGTTACATTGTTGCTGGGCGGGTCAATGGAAGTTTGAACTTGACAAGAGCAATTGGTAGCACACACTCCTCAAGTAGAACATTTATATATTGGATGTATTGTTTGTACTCATTTTTGTAAATCTAATCCCCAGGGGATATGGAAATGAAGGAAAATAAGCTTTTACCAGCCGAGAAACAGACTGTCTCAGCTGAACCTGAAGTGAACACAGTGAGTTTTGCTGCCTCTTTTCTGTCAGTTTTGTTTGAACAAAATTACTCAACTCAGGATTGCATTACTGTTGGTCAGGTTACACTTTCTGAGGATGATGAATTCATTGTTTTGGCCTGTGATGGTATATGGTATGAATTTTTGGCTGTAATAATTATTCATTCTCAGGGCTGAGACTTATCGTGATACCTGCTTTGCCTTTTTTTTTTTCTTGTTGTTCATGATTTATATCATAGTAAGGCTTCCCAATTGTGCCTTTTGTATCAGAGTCATGAAACTTGAAGTGGATATAGCACAATCATTTTCCTTGATTTCCATGTACTATAACTACTGTCTGAAAGCATAGAGTGAAAGAAAAACTTGCCACCACCGGGCATGCCATTGTTTGATCTGGGCACTACATATGATGCATGTTAATCAAGAACACACGGCTATCTTGGCAAGTTGACATAGTACAGGAGCTTATTGTCATCAACGTAATTGGCATGGAACATATTTATTAGCTTTACAAGTTGCTGCTAAATTTTCAAAATTTTGCTGAGGGTCTGTAGTATGTTTGTAGTTCTGAACCTTAAATAACAAGTACGCAATAGTTTGTGTTAAGAATAGACTGAAAGCATAACATCATGTTTTCCCAGTGTAACATTCTGGACGCTTAGAGCCCATTGACACACAGATTCTGCTGAGATGTTATGTTGTCTCTTGAAAATTGAGAGCACAATGGTCGCTCAACAGAACTGGTGCCTTTTTTTCAGATGCCACGTACATCCAGACAAATTATATACAGTACTAAATTTGAATTGGAGAATACCAATGTGTCTTTAGAGAACCTAGTTATCTCAGCATGTCCTTGGATCTGTAGTGACCAAATAATGTTGATCACACTCTTCTCGTATGCATATGTGTGATCGTTGAGGGGTTAGATTTTGTACATTTAGCAAGCAGTGTCAGACATGGTCAGACTGGTACTAGTGGAAGCTCAGTTGCAACCAGTTTTGCAGATACTATGGGACTTGGTTAGTTCCATGCCATGGAGTCAACACCTTTGATCTGGATCAGTCCAGAGTTTTTGATCTTTTAGGCTGTGGGACGTTTTTTTTATCCACGTCACCTTAAATGCTATCACTGAAATGTTGTTCAAAATTAAGACGGATGAATTACACATCGTAAGGCAACAGAGGTTCCATACTAGAATCTGAGGCTACTCTCATAGACTCTTAGCATGCTACTTTTGTCATGTGACCTGATGATGTATCAACTTATTACCTGTGTGACCTGATTGATGAGCTTTACAATGCACACATGCATTCATAATTACACTTTCCATTTCGACTTGGTTTTCATTAACTCCCTTATTTTATGACAGGGACTGCATGTCAAGTCAACAAGTAGTGGACTTTGTGCACGAGAAGTTGAAGACTGTAAGCACCTCTGTTTCGTCGAACATAGATTATTGATATCGTGTATTGTTATGGTACTCATACACCAGGAGGTTGAAAATCTGCAGGAGGTTAGTCTATCTGCCGTGTGTGAGAAGCTGCTCGACCGGTGCTTGGCGCCTGAGAGTGGTGGGGAGGGTTGTGACAACATGACGATGATCTTGGTTGTGCTCAAGAAGCCTACCGACCCGGCCGCTACTTCTAGCTCGGAGCAATCTGCAGTCACCAACGAAGAGATGCGGCCCAGGTAAGCAAGATTTCCTCTGCTGAAGCAACACATATTACAGATTATGAAATACAACATTGTAAAACCCGAGCTACTCTTTCAGAATCTGAGCCCCTCTCCTGTCCCCTTTGTGAACAGCGAGCCTGATGCCCCAGAGACCCCTTCGTCGAAGTAGCGCTCCGAGGCGAAGCAATGGTCAGAAGGTCGTGACCCGGTCGAAACAGCAGCGCTCCGAGGCCAAGCCACATGGTTCAGAAAGGTCTGATCGGTGATAGACAAAATCAGATAGCAGTAAGTGAAGTGGTGTATATAACAGAGGGATTCTATTCAACAATTCCCATAGGGTTTGTTCTTGTAGCCTTTTGTCCAATATACATAGCAGCATCTTGGTTGGTGGATATGGGTTGTGGATAAATTGCAGAGCTTTTTTTTCTTCCAGCGATTTGGTTCTATCTTGGTGAATTGCAACTAGCGTGGTGATTCATGAGTACATTCTACTGATACTCGAAATGCGGGTGCGGTTACATTACATCAGGAAAGCTAGCTAGCTAAATGCCCCCCAATTAGACTAGATTAGAGACCATGTCTCGGTCAATCGCTGCAGATGATACTCCTTGGAACTAAATGACAAGGATGGCGGCAGCTCCCAGCGCGGTGACCACCGCTGCCGCTGCCGGCCACGCCCCTGCGGTGAAAGAGGCGGAGGTGGATGGGTTGTCGGCGCCGGGGGCGGGCGGGGGGTAGATCTCTGGGCCGAGATCGAAGATGCCGACGGTGATGGCGACCTTCATGCCGGACTGGCAGAAGCCGTTGCCGCAGATGAAGAAGTAGCGGCCGGGGCGCGGGAGCGGGATGAAGTCCTTGCCGGAGGTCCAGTTGCCGGTGACCCCGTCCATGGTGCAGTTGTCGTACCCCGTCTCGTTCACCTTGAACACGTTGTGCGTCCCCTTCTGGTACCGGAACGCTGCGTGTACATACTCGAACGAGTGAGTGAGGCGGCAGGGAAGAGAGAGAGAGCAAGTAGTAGATCTGGTGGAGCTAGGGGAGGGGAGGCAGAGGTGAAGAGAAGACATACAGATGAGGTCGCCGGCGTAGAAGGTCTGGTTGGCGGACCAGCTGGAGTAGTTGATGTTGGGGTTCCACCCGCGGTTGGCCCCCACGATGTGGTCCGTCGCGCCCGACAGCCCCACCGCGCACCCCGCCACCACCACCACGCCCACCGCCAGCATCAGCGCCTTGGACGCCGCCATTGCTCAGCTCTCTCCTCCAGAGAGAGTGAGCAGAGGAGGGGAGTGGCGAGCAGAGTGAGCAGTGAATGGGGAAAGCAAGCAGAGCACGGGGGCAACAGTGGCATATAAGTAAATTGCTCGTGCCAGGCCGCACTCATTGGTGGTCTCGTCCTCATCCTGGCCCACTCCTGGCCGGGCCAGCAGCGAGCAAGCGAGTTTTTTTTCCTGCAGATTCGTCGGAGATTTTGAGTTTTAAACTTTTTTGAATCCCTACGCGCCAACCACGGCAAGTCGCCCGCAAAAGTTTGCCGGCGGGGCAGTTCAAACAAAAAAAAAAGTTTGCCTCTTGCGCTCCGTGCTTGCCGCCTTCTGTGCTAAGCAACGCATACACATGCCACAAATGCCGGAGCAATTCCATGGCGATGCCCAAAGCGCACTCTAGAAGATAGTACAACGATAGTAATGAAAGTCAGTAGTAGACTGGTAGAGGCGTAGAGCTCTAGAGCACGAGAACATATTCTCATAATGGCGCTGGCCGAAAGCTTTTACAACCTTACAAGCAATTTCAGGATTGGATTGCCACGATACTTCCCTCTTCCTCTTTGCGGTTCCTCCTCAACGGGTTGCCGGGGCCTTCTATCAAACATGGCCCAGGGCTTTGATAAGGGGACCCTCATTCCCCGCCTTGCGATCGACCCTCTTCCCCAAATCCTCGACCTTGCAACTAGAAAAGGCATTATACATAAGATTCGAGGACGTGGCGCCATGGCGTGTACATTCCTCTATGCGGACGACACGACCATTTTTATGGCTCCAATTAATAGGGGCATGGAAAACCTCTCGGCCATCTTAAGGGGTTTGGCGGTGTGACGGGCCTTTGCACCAACTTCCATAAAAGTTCGGTGGTGCTCATTTGATGCAATCATCTTGATTCGGGGCATATCCTCCATAGTGTTCTGACAACTAGAGCTTATTTCCCTATGGCATACTTGGGCCTCCAAGTCTCGGTTTGGCAACTTAGGAAGGCTGACTTCCAATATCCTGAAGACAAAGCGGCCAGAAAATTGCTAGCTTGGGAGGGCAAAACATCACCATCATTCGGCGCATGACCCTCGTCAAATCGGTTATCACCTCCAAAGCGGTGTACTCATCATGCCCCTTGTTGTGCCGCAGGGCTCTCTTCATAACCTCAACAAGATGAGAGGGCTTTCCTTTGGTCTAGTTCAGACAAGACGACGAGGGCCAAGTATGGTCAATAGAGAGGTGATTTGTCGTCCTTCGGAATACCGAGGCCTTGGGGTCCTGAAACCGACAAATTTGCACGTGGTTGCCGCTGAGATGGCCTTGGTATGAATGGAGTGAGCCAAACAAGCTTTGGGTTGGGTTGGGTAACCCAATGCAACGAGGAAGGCCTTGGTTTCTTCTATGCCTCCACCGCTATCACTGTTGGCAATGGTGCCAAAACACCTTTCTGGGATTCCCCTTGGCTACTTCGGCGTAGGCCCGAGGATATTGCTCCGCTAATTTTTTAGGCCTCGAGGAGAAAGAGTCGAAAAGTGCGCGAGGCTCTCAATGGGTTGGATGCTAAAGATCAACCATGACACCGTCTTCTCCAGAGACCACATATGAGAATTCTTCACCCTTTGAATGCTTGTGCATGACTACCACCTTGACGAAGAAAACAAAGATGACATTGTTTGGAAATATTCTATGGATGGAATTTACGCTACCCCCATGGATTTCATGGTTTGAAAAGTTTGGACCCCTTTCGCATTGCGAGGTCGGATTTAGACTGCCGGTCAGTTGGAGAGGCGTGATTGGGCAAATTATGGTCTTTGCCCTCTTTGCAGAAGGGAGCAAAAAAACAGGGACCCGCCTCTTCTTCAATAAGTATGAGCTTCACTTAAGAGGGATCCTTCGAGGATTGGTGGAATAAGAGAACCGACTGCAAAACCCCCAATAGATGCAAAACTCCAAATAAACAAACTATGACCTCCCTCACCATGCTCGTCTTGACAATTTGAAAGAAGAGAAATTCTGTGTTTACTACACCACAAGTGCACCAAGACAATTTGAAACAAGAGAAATTCTGTGTTTACTACACCACAAGTGCACCGCCACCAATTCTTCTTAAAATTGTTGTCAACGAGGCTAGGCTTTGGGTTTCTGCAGATGCTAAGAAACCAGGGCATATTGTACTGCACGAGTAGTTGTCATGCCGTGTATGTGAGCCACTTGTAAATCTCTATTTCCCTTCTTATTTAACAGGTAAGGCAAATCTCATGCCCCCAATTCGAAAGAAAAAAAAAACTTACAAGCAGCAAACCGACCCAGCAGCACAAGAATTACAGGCCATGAAATATAAATTGAATTTTATACGCTGATCCATTAAATTCTGCCAAAACAGACAACTCCAACACAGTGTATTGTATTCTACCCTTGTAACTCCAACATTTATCACTAACAAGTATCATCACTTGTGACCACAACAATAAACATAAATCATCAGTTCATAAACTAATCCCAAAATGTAACTTTTCCCTCAAAAGAGTAACAAACACGGGGATGATCCCCACCTTCACCTTAATCATACAATTATCACCTCTGACCGCGAAAGCTGAAAACATATGCTATGCTCTGTCTCTGCCTGCTGTGCTTCCAGCGACTAATCGATCTTCACGGACGAGTAGATCATCCTTGTGAACCAGAAGCAGGCGCAGAAGCCGATGGTTCCGGTGAGCACAAAGAAGGAGAAGGAGGCGAGCAGCATGTACCCGAAGTAGAGGATGCCCGACACCAGCTTGCTGATCTGCAGCTTGGTCCAGAAGTAGAACCCAGCATACAGGAAGAGGTACAGCGCCGACGACCCTGAGGTGAGGTATGACCTCCACCACCAGTTGTAGTCCTCGCTGCACAGCTGGAAGTAGCAGAGCACAATGGTGATCTCTGCGCACGTGATGATGAGGATCACAAACACCAGGAAGAGGAACCCGAAGATGTAGTAGAACTGGTGCAGCCAGATCGAGGTGAGGATGAAGAAGAGCTCGATGAAGACCGCGCCAAACGGCAGGATGCCGCCGATCAGGATGGTGAAGAGCGGGTTCATGTACCAGGCTTGCTCGGGGATCTGACGCGGGATCTTGTTGGTCTTCACTGGAGGCTCCATGGCGGGCTTCTTGAACCCGAGGTAGCTCCCAACAAACACGAGGGGCACTGAGATGCCGAACCAGAGGAGGACCAGGGCAAACATGGTGGTGAATGGGACAGCACCGGATGACTTCTCCCCCCATATAAGGGCATTCAAGATGAAGAAGATAACAAAGGCAATCCCTGGGAACAGGAAAGCCGTGCGCAGGGTTATCTGCTTCCACTCTGCACCCTTGAACATCTTGTAGAGTCGCGAAGAAGAATAGCCAGCAATCAACCCCATCAGGACCCAGACGAGAAGCATTGCAGTCATCAATCCTCCACGGTTCGATGGAGAGAGGAAACCCAGAACAGCAAAGATCATCGTAACCAGCAGCATGCCAAAGAATTGGACTCCAGTGCCAACAAAGACGCAAAGCAAATCAGAGTTGACTGGAGGGCGGAAAACATCTCCGTGGACAAGCTTCCAGCCAGTTTCCTCCTGTGCCTCCTCTTGAGTTTCAAGCTGGTTGTACCTAGATATATCTCTGTACAGGGTGCGCATCATGATCATGGCCACCATACCAGATAGGAAAAGCACGATCATGAGAGAGTTAACGATAGAGAACCAGTGAATCTGATCATCAGACATCAACAGATAGGTGTCCCATCGAGATGCCCACTTAATTTCACTCTCCTGCAGAAGTAACAAATTCCATGAATTTTTCGGTAAAGCAGATCTAACATTAAAGGTTAAGAAACTATCATGCCATAGGAGACAACAATTAAAAAAATAGTACCTCAAAGCGAACATCATAGGTGAATATGATATCTTTGCCGACCTCAACCTCCTGAGGAGTTTCAGAATTTACTACAAACTTGCTGTTATGAGGATCACATGTGGTCAAACGAGTGTTTGCGTCATTCCAATTCCCATCAAACTGATGCTTGATGCTGGCGCAAACATACAAGACAGAACACAAAAATTAGGTACATTCCATTTAGGTATGGCAAAAATTATTAACAACACGACAAGCAAAGTTGAAAGAAAACCTGAATGGTTTGACCTCAAATCCCACTATCCTAGAAAGTTCTGAATCATCATCCTTGTGAAACTTAACCGAAAATGACAAATGGTTGTGGATGAAGTGCTTCTCATCCTTGCTCTGGAAATATATTTATATATGTGAATTAGTTAAGTCCCGATCATACATGTAAAGACAAGGGTAAGCATGAACAGGCTATATGAACTTACTCCAGCATACTGGCCCTTGACACCAACATGATATCCACCTTGGTAGGCGACAGTGTTCCTATCTGGCCTTTGAACTGGAACAACCAGTGGCAGATTGTCAAGAACCCTGCAAAGCAAAGCCGGTCAATTTAAAAAATTACCATGCCAAATAAAGCGCAACAACACCTACGATATTGTCCTTACATGTTGACACGATATTCATCCTCAATCTTCTCCTTGAGCTCCTTTGCTTCTTTCTCAGTAACAGTTATTTTGCAGATAATCTGGCACATCTTGGGCTCTCTCATTTGAAACTGCAGTTGAGACAAGGAGGATGTGTTAAACTAAAAACTAGGCACATTTCCCTCCCAGGTACATAAATTCTTGATTATTCTTTACCGATTACTTACCACGTAAGGAGAGTTCTCAATTCGATCACCACGGAGAACCTCGCCAAGGTTTTCAGCGCTGTCAACTATGGTATTCGGCTTGCAGAAAGGAAGGGAGTAATACGTGTAGGGTAGCTGAGTCTTTATTGATGTCAGCTTGTTCACCTTCACCAACAGTTCATCTCCCTGTAGACAGATAAACCGAGGGATAATCAAGGACATTTTTTACTTTTAAGCAGCCAAAAAAAATGCTATATGCAGAAAGCTGTTCA